CACCCCTCGGAGTTATGGCAAATTACGAAAAAATCCGTCTTATTTGGGTAATTACAGCCACCCACTCTTTTAAATATTTTTACATAAAATATATGTAATTCGGTTATTTACCGAACCAAATCGTATATTCAGTTCGGTAAACGGTATGAAATGCTGGCGTATCGAAATTTCGTGTTCGGTTTTACCAATTTAACATCCCTAAATTTACATGTGAAGAGGTATTTTCATAAAATAATATATAGTTGAGGGGTGGCTGTAATTACCTAAATATGAGTGATATTTTCATAAGATAATATATAATTGAGGGGGTGACTGTAATTATCTAAAAATGAGAGAATTTTTCTTAATTTGACCATAACTAGGAATAAGGGGATAGCCGTAATTTGCTGTATAATATACAGAGCGTTTGTCTTCATCTAATATTTACCATCTTCCGGTTATTAATGTATTCATATTTTTTTAAACTTAATTAAAATATTGAATAATTTATAATGCACTCCCCTGAAATTATGTCTAATAATATAAATCCCATTGTATTTGAAAAAGGAAAGATTTTATTTGTTTATTTTGGTGAGGGAATAATATATATTGTATGAATTGATTTTGGTGGAATTTTCAATCTAAATAAAATCTCGTGGTAAGTTATGTAATTTTTGCATCTTGAGGGGATTCAAATGTAATTAATTCTTATTTCAGAAAATAGTATGTATAAATTACCCAAAATTGTAATAACCTGTGGATAAGAGAGTATGTAGTATGTAGGGCACTTGAGAATGATGCGATCTCTTGTGTATCATAAGATTTCTTTACTGAACGTAAGAAAACTCTTGTTTATTATTTCTCTTCATTATAAAACCCTAGCACAATACGACTATTTAAAGAGAATAAAACCCTAGAATCCTAATCTAACTAGGAAAGATAATGACCTATACTAATAAAATACTTAATAATCTCCTAACTACTCCTAACTCACGGCAATATCCTATCTAATTATACTATTCTAATTAATTAATAATAAAATACTAACTAATTAATAATGAAACGATATATTAAATAATATATCGTATCAAACCACCCCTCTTGAAATGAACCTTGTCCTCAAGGTTCGATCTAGTAATTGTTCTTGCTTTTTTAGTTTCCATCGATGCTTGATTTTATGAGAATTCTTCCAGAACGACTTAATTCTACAATCATAGGTGAGGGAACTAAACAAAGATGCAACGATAGTAGCGCTTGGCCAGATATTGGTCGGAAGTTGGTAACAAAGACTTTTACAACCTTCAGTGGCCATAAACGCAAAATAATTTTGCCGCCCATGCTGCCATGATTGTGAATTTCTATTACCAACTAGAATAATATTTGCAAGTTCCATATTATTCAATTTTTGCGTCTCTTCATCCTCACTTTCTTGTTGATCTTCATCCTCACTTTCTTGTTGCATACTATTTTGATGCATCTGAGATTTAGAAGAATGATTTATGTCAAGAATTTCCCTTCTTATTTCTGTAACCTTCGAATCATGATTCTGAATATTCTTGTCCAAAATCTCAACCACAACACCACAAGCTTTTGATTCAGTTTGCACATGATCCCAATCCTCAGCGGTTTGCATCAATTCAGCAATTGATGTCAAAATTTCATCATCATGGCTATCTACAGACATGAAAAATAGTTGCGCTTGACTCTTAATAATTGGTTCAGCTTCCTCGACGAATTTCGGGCCACGACCCTCTTGACCGGAAGGCCTGATGCGTAAGCCTGTATTACAGGCGTAACTATTGCGGTTGCCTTTCCCTTTGGACAACACATCCGATGGTGGCGGCGATGTTGGTTTTGGCCGGCGGTCCCTTCGGCTCTTATGTTGGCGTCGTCCTTGACTTTGTTCGAGCAATTTTTGGAGACCGATCCGTATCTCCTCCACGGATTTTTCCAATCGCTCTAAACGTTTTCTCTCGGACAGCATAATTTCGCAAAGTGTTGATGTAATCTCAACTTTGCTCCAGCTTAGCTTTGATATAATCGCTGCTTTGCTAACGAAGTGTTGGTGTTAATCGCAACTTCGCTCTGATACCAATTGATGCGATCTCTCGAGTATCATAAATATTTCCTACGAAACGTAAGATCTATTCTTTAATATTTTTCTCTTCATTATAAAACCCTAGCACAATACGACTATTTAAAGAGAATAAAACCCTAGAATCCTAATCTAACTAGGAAAGATAATGACCTATACTAATAAAATACTTAATAATCTCCTAACTACTCCTAACTCACGGCAATATCCTATCTAATTATACTATTCTAATTAATTAATAATAAAATACTAACTAATTAATAATGAAACGATATATTAAATAATATATCGTATCAGAGAACTGGGAGTGTAGGTTGGAGATTAGGAGAGATAGAGACACTAGGTGTAAATACGGGTGATAAATTATAGTTGTTCGGAAATAGACCTAAATTTGACGAGTCGGTTCAATAAAAGCTCGAGTTTTTTGAGCTCAAACCTGATTATAGTTGTTCGGCCTATAGCGACCCGGTCCATAAGCTTTTCATTTATTTTACTTATTTTATTTTATATATTTATACAATTTTTTTTTTCTTATAAATGAGTTAATTATTTTTAAAGCTCGAACTGAGCTCGAGTTCCAGCTCACGAAGCTCATGCGAATTCGAGCTCGAGCCAAAAAAATCTCAACACGTCAAGCTCGAGTACAAACAGTTGAACTTGAGCTGGAACTTTTTAAAGTAAGGGAGTCCGCACAAACTGCATATGGGCCCCCGATTTCCTCGTTCAGTACCTCCCGATTACACCGCTTGCAAGGGGGGGGGGGTGGGGGGGTTTGGGGGGTGAGTGTTATTATAAGTTGAAAATTGTCATAGTTATATAGGGTAGGAAATTTCCGATTTTTGCTATTCCGAGCAGACAAAATCGATTTTGGAACAATAATTTTCATTATGAATTCTAAAAATCCAGATCTCCAACTTTTCTTATTTTTTGCATAGGAACGGGAATATATATGTTCTTTTTTTCCTTTTTTTTCTACCCAATTTTAATTCTTGAAACAGAAAAAATCCAAAAATTGCATTTATAATATCAATATTATTAAGTTTTTTTAATTATTATTTTAGGCAACTAAAATATTAACTTTTTGAATTTCGCCAATTACAATCTGAAATTTTCCAAGTGAAACATGTTTTTTCATTCAAATTTCCGAACTTTTTAAAATATAATTTACCTCAGTTGTTCACTTAAAAAAAATAAGGAATTTTCCTATCTGATTCATTCTATTTGCACTCCTAATTTTAATATTGGAGTGGAAGATTATTTTACGGGCAAATCTCAACTCTTTTGTCGTTTGAATTTTGTGCACATCACCCCCTTTAACTTTTAATATAACAAATGACCTTCTTGTATTTTAATATAATCATATAACCCTCTTCTACTTTCAAAAAAATCGTATTCCTAACGTGCATGATTATATTTATCAAATGGAATACCATGCGGGTTATGTGCTTATATAAAAGTGTAAATTACAACCATCGCCTAAGGTAATGTTAAATTATGAAAAAAATCCTCATGATTAGGTAATTACAACTACCCCTCAACTATGAATCTTCTTACACATCTACCCTTATGGTGTCAAATTCAACATAATCTTCTAGATTCCATGGATGTTCTCTAGTTTGTAATCGTTTTTGTGCAAAAAATGCAGTTTATGATGCATCACAATCCGATATTTATAAGCCAAAAAACACATCTTATGATTATCTTGCTTTAAAATATGGAACTTGAATGCGATAAAACAAGTATAAACTTGAGAATATTCAATATAATCTAGAAGATTCCATTAAATTGACACCGTTAGAGTGAACGCATAAGAAGATTCATAGTTGATGAGTGGTTATAATTACCCAATTATAATAGTTTTTTTTCATGATTTACTATTATATCAGGGGTGACCGTAATTTATCCATTAACATATGATAATTGCACACGAATCTCAGGCAATTATACACTTCGAGTTGCATATGCACTAAATTCAAAAACCAAAAAATGTTAGAAGAAATTGGATGTTGACATATGATCCCTATACCATATTTGTTTTTTTTTTTTTAATATTAAAATAAAATAAAATAAAATTTAATTAAAAAAAGAAAAAAAAAAAGGAAAATGGGATCCAAGGGGTTTTGTTGCACTGATTAGTACATGGGCGCAGGGGCAAACAAGCTACAAGTAGAAAATCGCATTTTTAGAAAATTAAAGTTTGAAAAAGATAGCTTTATTTATTATTTATGTGTAAAGTGCGCGCGCGCATGGGGATTGGAATTGGAATCCAACCCCTCTTCTGACGACGACTGTGCTAACTGGCACGCATCGCAGAGAAAGGAACTGTAGGGATTGGGACCAACGGACCAAAACACTGATTACGTTTTCCCCACAACAGATCCGAGAAATCCGTTGATGCGTCCCCGCAGGCGCCCCCAGCCCCCTTTTGGGGATCACGTTTTACCACTCCCACTCGCTTTCTTTGCTACGTCTATTCCACGCGTTTCACCTAAATTCACATTTCAATTTTACCATACTACCAAGATTTTATTTTATTATTATATTGATTATTTTTTTTTTTTGAAAATAACTGTATTAATAATGAGTATTAACTTTATACTTACTAAAGTTAAAACTTATTATAAATTGAAATATTTTCCATAGTGAAGTGTGTTTGAATTTCTAGTTTTTTCTTTACCGATCGCATTGCACATCCAACTGATTGATTTGTCATACGTTATAAATTATTATAAACAAAACCGATGAATGACTATAATCGATTGATGTACCGTCTCAATTTTATTAAGTGGGACAATAATACAAAAAATCTAACAAATTTTATTATACTTGAATTTCATTAATGATGGTATTAGAAGTGTATATTATACTAGACCAACCCCTAGCAAAAATAAATAAATAAATCACATGTTTATATATAAATTATAAATGCTCTAAATGATTGGAAAGTGGTCACCACTTGCTTTAAATTAGAGAAGAAAAAAAAACGCAAAAACACAAAAACAAAAGGCTAAATTGCATCATGCACCCCAAAATATAGCAAGGTAGGCATATTGCACCCTAAAAAATAAAATAAAAACATTGTACACCCTCAGATTATATTTAATTTACAAGATGCACCACAAGATTAAAATCTTCATCTTTTTAATTATTCAATCGGCAACCTCAATCTTCAGCTAAGGTAATACTAGTCCCTTAAATTTATGACTTCAATTTACGACATTTCAACCCTAATCTTTTACTATGAAGAGACGCAACTACGACAGACAGGGTACGTAGGGTTCTTAGATAAATAATTAGAGTCGTAAAATAACTTTTCGTAATACCATTTTTACCCTCCTAAAATTCGTATGCCTATCTAGCATGTGAGCAAAATATAAATCAAAGCGACTAATACGACCTCAGATGGATATTAAGTTTGCCGATTGAATAACGGAAAAAAAAAAAGGGGAAGTTTTTAATCTTCGGGTGCATCTTGCGAAATGAAATACAATCCGAGGGTGCTATATTTTTTTCATTTTTCATCTTTGAGGGTGCATTGTGTCTAACTTGCCATACTTTGGGGTACAAAATGCAAATTTGAGGGTGCAGAGTGCCTAACTTGCAATATTTTCGGGGTGCATAATGCAAATTAGACACTAGACAGCTCATCTTTAACTTGGCATCTTTATACAGAGCTGTACACTCACCCCTTCTTACCACTGTCCCGTCACTTCCACCACTCTGACTCATCACTCTGCCACCCACCACAACCACCGTCCACCACCCCCCACTTTTTCTTTTTTTACCCCCCAACACTTGTATATATATACTTTCCCCCCCAATAGTAAACAGTACCTCAATTCTCTTGATTCTCTCTCCACCATTATATTACAGAAACAACAAACAGCAAAAGCTTCAACTTCCATCAATGGCGGCATAATTAATTGATCACAACAGATTTTTTTTTTTTTCCCCGAAACATGGTAGTGGTGGCGGTATTTGTTCGGAGATGAAGGATCGACAGAGGTGGCAGCCGGAAGAAGACGCTCTCCTCCGCGCCTACGTCAAGCAGTACGGCCCGAAGGAATGGAGCCTCATCTCTCAGAGAATGGGCAAAACCCTAGATAGAGACCCTAAATCCTGCCTCGAGCGGTGGAAGAATTACCTCAAGCCGGGAATCAAAAAAGGATCACTCACCGCCGACGAACAGCATCTCGTCATTTCTCTTCAGGCCAAGTACGGCAACAAGTGGAAGAAGATCGCCGCCGAGGTCCCCGGCCGCACCGCCAAGCGCCTCGGCAAGTGGTGGGAGGTTTTCAAGGAGAAGCAGCTCAAGCACCTCCAGAGGTCTTCTTCTCACCACCACCTGGATTACGGCATTACACCGCCCGGCAGCTCCGCCGCCGGCGGCGGCGCCGCCGCCTCGCCGGAGGGGAAGTACGACCATATCCTCGAGACGTTTGCGGAGAAGTACGTGCAACCTAATTTATTCTCCTCCTTCCAATCCCCTACATCGCCTGGAATAATCATGCCGGCGGCGGCGGCGGTCAGTAACCTAACGCTCCCCGATCCGCCGCCGAATTCCGGCGCGGCGCTTCCGCCTTGGTTGAACATGAACAGCACACCAACAACGACGTCGTCTCTAACATCTTCGTCCTCCTCCACCACGCCGTCTCCCTCCGTGAGCCTGACGCTGTCACCATCCGAAGCGGCGGCGGTGGTGGTGGATCCGATCCAGCCGCTGGCGAACCGGTTCAACTTCCCGATCCAACAGGTGGGGATTCTGATCCAGCACTGCAAGGAGCTGGAAGAAGGGAGGGAGAATTTGATGAGGCATAAGAAGGAGGCGACGTGGCGGCTGAGCAGGGTGGAGCAGCAGCTGGAGGCGGAGAAGGCGCGGCGGAAGAGAGAGAAGACGGAGGAGGTGGAGGAGAGGATAAGGAGGTTGAGGGAGGAGGAGGCGGCGTACGTGAGCAGAATGGAGGCGGAGTACAGAGAGGAGATGAAGGGTTTGCGTAGGGATGCAGAAGCTAAAGAAGACAAATTAATGGAGGAATGGTGCAGTAATCACGTGAAGCTGGAGAAGCTGCTTCAACAGATTGGTGGGGCCCACCCCTGTGCCTTCTCTATTCATAAACACAATAAACATTACTTTTTTTATTTATTTTTTTTTCAGTTTTCTTTT